AAATCATTTATTTCAGTTAGACCAGGAAGGCACTTTTGAACGTCAACAATATAAATTTAAAAGTGAAGCTATTTGCTCATTCCAAGGTGTAGATTCCTATGGAGAAGAACGAGCAAGAAACAATACAATTTTATTTTTCAATACAAATCGACTCGATGCATCCACTGTTCTGTTTAAACAAATGTTGGCGAGGCTTGGCCAAGGAATCGCCAACACACGCACAAACATTGGTGGCGTTGGTTTATAATTGATAATTTTGTCTAATTTGATATTATTTACTAGTTTAAAAGCTTAAAATATAACTTATACTTTATGTACTTATCAAAAGTAAGACACTCCAGCCGTTATACTGCTTTTCCGGTTGTTATTTTTGCAACTTGCAATTATGCACTGCGGCATCGTGAGACGTGAGTACGTTGGCCGTGTTTGGAGCATACTAAACAAAATAAGAGCTCACTTCTCAAGTGAGCTCTTATTTGTCGAGACGATTTTCTTGCACTGACCCGATATCTAGTTGTTATTGTTGATCGAAGAAAGCCAAACTCAATACCATTTAGTTCATTCAATATCCACGCAATACGGATGCAATGGGCGCTAGTGTTACAACTCAAGAGTACGAAATTTCACAATACCAATGTCGATCGATCGGAATTGGATTCAAGAGTAAGCCACCTGGTTTCGCTTAGAAGTGGGACACTTCCTGACTGGTTGATAAGTAGTAAATAGAGCAAGTAATGATAAGTTAAAAGCTTTATCATGCAGCCGATTCACAAAAATATAAATAATATTGGTTTTATTACTTATATTTGTCTAAGGCTTTAAATTAATATGTTTTTGAACGAAATGAAACGCATCAAATGAAATGTCATATCGCCCCACGTATTGATGTTGAGTGATGTTCCAATGATACTAAATATTCGAATTTAAAATGTTAGCATTCGACTATTAATCACATTGTTTGTGATTTTGAATCTAAAAATGTAATTAATAATGACGGCTAAATCAGTGGTATTTTATAATCTTTTATATTGTCAAATGTCCAATATTGTCCAGTATTCTTATATTTTATCAATGTCGTGGTGGCCCGGAGGTTTACGACTCCCGCTTCTCATGCTTGAGGGTGCGGGGTCAAAACCTACCAACGGTAAGCACCAATGTGACTTTTTCCGAGTTATACGTACTTTCTAAGATTATCAAGACAACATTGACAAACTCTTGAAGTCAATCTCAATGTCAATGTAATTTCAATCCAATAAAATCTGTATAATTATTTAATGTCAAAACTATACAACCCCTATCGTAGCTGTTAAAATAGCATTCAGAGTACGGAATATAGAGCTAAACTCAATAGCATTTAGTCCATTCAATATCCACGCGATACGGATGAAATGCGCGCTAGTGTTGCAACTCAAAACTACGAAATTTCACAATGCCAATGTCGATCGATTGGAATTGGATTTAAGAATAAGCCCACTGGGCTTATAATTTCTAATTATAAGTTTATTATCGCCAACCCGCATTGAGCAAGCATGGTGATTAATGCTCAAACCTTCTCCGTGTGAGAAGAGGCTTTGCTCAGCGGTGGGCTTTTATAGACTGTTGATTCTTATATTGGATTTTTTTTTTCATTTCTTCTACAGGTAGTGTGTCGAATAATTACGAGACCAACCAGTCTATCCTGATAAATCTGCAGTGCTATAACCATATACTATTGCAGATTGTACTACTTTCATGAATGAAAGTGCATCGACCAGTTTCAGGTACCAAGCATCCCCAATCAACCTAAAAGGTCTTTGTTATCATAAAAGTTTTATTTGTGTTTACAAATAACGTAAAAACGAAACAATGAAATCTCTAAGCTACCTGAGATAATACAATAAACTTCAACAAAAGTTTTGTTATCGATTTTAGCGCTGTTTTAATAGCCAATTCTTAAACACCAGGGAAAGGTACTTATTGTACACTTAAAAAACTGACACTCTAGTTGCATCACATTTGGCCAACGTCTTAAACACAATTTTTTTAAGCCCTACATATTTATGACAATCCTACTTTTAAGTTCTTTATCCTTGTATTTTTAACACCTATTTCATGTTATGTAATTCAGATCTAATGAGTAAAGAATATGGATGCTATTCATGTGAACATCATAATTCCCATCATACTAAACCATTATTTATTTGATTACTATTTATAGAAATTCAATAATCGACTATTAAGTGGTATTTTTTTTATTAAAACTACCACATCACTAAAACTAAAACGAAACGTCAAACGCGCTCGCGTATTGACGGTCGCAAATCGGCAATAGCGAACGCCGATTAAATAAATTAAATGAACTTAGAAATAAATTAAAAAACAAATAGTGTCAATTAGAAGTACATATTGTAAATTAGTTGTTATGAAGATGGTCAGGCATAGAAAAGTAGTTTCGCTAAAGACAGATAAGGATGCAAGCAGTAGTTCTGGTTGCAGCGAATCCTCTATCGGTAGTAGAACCTTTAAATTTCTTTCGGTGTGGAAAACCGGCGTCGGTTGCGTTTGTTTTTTAATTGCGGTGTATATTAGCACTCTGGGCTACCTTGAAACACGCGTCAACACACCTTTTGACGATGATAAGGTAAGCGAAACGTTGCATCAATTTCACATATTTTATTTCAAATAATTTTATCAGGACGATCAGAGTATTTAACTACCTATTTATTAATTATTTTTGTGTTAGTTTTCACTTACATTTTTAATTACTCGTTTACTAATAAGTGTGCAATTTTTTATATCAATTTAAGAAATAGTTTTCCATTCGCGTATTCATCTGCGTGGCTACAGGAAAAATGTAGCTTATACCACTCCAGGCTCCTAACCATTTTCAGATAAAATAATCATATTTATTTATTTAAGGTTTTATGGACAAAAATATCTGCATAGGCAGGCTTAATGCCATTCTTATTCTCAGCATTCTCTTCCGGGACTACTTACTCAGGGAACAACTACTTATTCAGGGAATAAAGGATAATTATGATCTATGTCAGGTGTGGCCAACTTGATCACAAATAATAAGTACTTTTTATAAATAAAAAGCCTGAGTGATCTACCACTTACATACTTCTTGAAATACAGCAGGCATTGGTACAGCATAGTGTTTATAAAATATATTGCAAAATTACACAATGTAATGCTGTTGTAGTTTAGTTTGTGCAGTCTGCAGCTGTAGCCAAATGCCATTTAGCGCTTGTCTACATGTAGAATAGATAACTAAATTATATGGAATTGACGTAAATTTGGACACTTGTCAGTGTCATCCCCATACATTTCGTTTTCTACTCTCTCTATAGACAAGCACTGTTTATTTATATTTTTTTTGCCTTGCGACAATTGACTGGACGATTGTTGCAAATCACGGTATCGATGGTCATGATCATCCAGTTGATTATGGTGGACCGGTTGGCCTGCCTTTATTTCTACTTAACATTATTTAAAAACGATTACAAAGGTGGCCCTCATAACGCCAACCAAATCTTCGAGAAATCAATAATAGTCTTCAATATCCTTAATTGGGATGATGACAGGGTATGAAAATTAAAAATCTAATTAGTCCATAAGTTAGATAATAAAAAATATTAGACACATGTTTTTTTATTTTGTCTTATAATAAAACAATACTTAGATAAAACGAATCAACGTTATTTCTACGTACAAATTAATATATTGTCGAAAGTATTCTTTTCTGTAGGAAAATAAAAATATGTGTCTATCTAATGATTTAAAATAATGTACGGAACAGACAATAAAATAAAAATTAGTCATCTACCCTATTAGGAATCTAGCTAGAAACCCCTTGGGGAGCAGTCTGTGTTAAAACTGAATCTGTAGCAATCTACATTAGTTAATATTAAATCACTCTCCATTCTCTTCTCCTAAGATTAACAAACACTTGTCTGAAAACCGAACGAAAATCGGATCAACCAATCAATGGGTAAATAACACAAATATACCTCTACATACATACACCAGTCAAAGTAAGAACATTCTGTTTTTGAAGTCATTTAAAAACATGCACTCAGCTGACTATGTCAGAAAACAAAGGTATATTTTGTGTCACCCAACTTTATGACTAATGTCGGAATACTGAAACGCTACTCAATTTTAAGTCGTGCTTAAGTATAGTTCTATCTCTACAAATTCTTTGTAAAATGACAGAGATATCACGATATTTGAGCACGACTTAAAATTGAGTAACGTTTCAGTATTCCGGCATAAGACAATTTGTACAAATCCATAAATTACACCACAAGAATTTCATGATTTTTCGCCCCTCCCCCCGTCCTTGTCACACCTAGTCACATTTGTGAGACCCCCCTAGTGTGACGTCACGTTTTGCAGAATAAAGTATGTACCTATGTATAAAAATTATTGAATGAAAACAGCGGTGCCGAAATCATTTTATTTCTATTTAACTCGTCGAGTACCGTCATTATAGACACAATTATAGAACAATTTAAACAGTTTAAATTACTTTAGAAAAATATTAATATGTACCTCGTTGTCTCGTTGGCCTAGTGGTCGCAAGTGCAACTGCCGGGCAAGGGGTCTCGGGTTCGATTCAAGGGTCAGTCAAATATAGGGTTTTAAAAAATTCTCAGTGGTAGCACGGAATCTGGAATTGTGCCCAGTATATGGCAGTAGGCTCACCCCCTATTACATGGGACTCATAACATAAAATAGTGAAAAGTGGGTGTTACATTGTATAGGGACATTAAGTGATGTACACCTCTGCCTACCCCTTCGGGGATAAAAAGCGTGATGTTATGTTATGTAATATGTATGTTAAAATATTAATACCAAATCAAACCAAATAAAAAACATTAATACAATTAAATTTCGTGTTTTATAATCATTTTTGAAATGTGACATCACAAAGTTTATGATCCCTCCCTCCCCCTTGTCACACAATGTCACACTTCGTCGACCCCCTCCATACCCCTTAACGTGTGACGTAATTTATGGACGGCCCCAAATTGTAGTTAATTCACTTTTACTACATAAATGATGTTTGTTTAGCCTCAAGTAATTAGGATAATCCGGTTTAAGATAATATTTAAGATAACATAACAGTACGCCTTTTATCCCCGAAGGGGTAGGCACTAGGGAAAACTACGGCACTTAATGCCACTGTACAATGTAACACCCACTTTTCACTATTTATGTTATAAGTCCCTAGTAATAGGGGGTGAGCCTATTGCCATATACCGGGCACAATTCCAGACTCCATGTTACCACTGAGAATAAAAAAAAACCAGTATAACTTTTCCCGACCCGGGAATCGAGCCCCTTGCCCGGCAGTCGCACTTGCGACCACTCGGCCAACAAAGCAACCCAACAACCAACCATAATTTCGTACTTTTGAAACGTCAACAAACGCTATTAAATATAATTATTATATAAAATAAATATTATTCTGTCAGTCAGTCCGTAAATGAAGCTAGGTGAAGCTAGGTGCTCATTACAAAATCTAGATTCAAATGGAGAAGTACGAGCAAAAACCCCATTCGTTACTCTTTTAAAAAATAGTATATTTACAATCTTTCTGATACATATTCATACAAAACAAATAATAGTCTGTCCATCAGTCGAGCTAGGTACTCATTTCAAAATGTAGATTCGAGTAGAGACGAACGATTCGTTAGGTACTCTTTTAAAAAAAAATATGTAGATCTATATCTGTTTAAGTTAATTTATTTATTATTTATTAACACTTTAATGCACACAAAATAAGGTACATAAGGCGGACTTAATGCCATATGGCATTTTCTCCCAGTCAACCTTTGGGTTAAATGTAAGCTCAGCGAAAATGGGCCTGTGTAATATCCAAAGAAAAAACAAAATAAATAACTAATAGTAATAATAAATACTGTATAACATACTGTATAAAAATATATAATAAACACAAAATATGTGCCTACATACATAAATAACTTCATATATATAATTATAATATAATCTAAATTGACGAAGACACGAACTCAGCGTTGTAGCGCCTTTAAATAGGCCTCACGAACACTACGTTTAAAAGCCATTTTGTTTGGAGCCATTTTTATACTATGGGGTAGTGCATTCCATAATTTAAACTGTCAAACACCAAGCGGTCACCGGTGACCGCAACCTATTGTTCTATAATTGTGTCTACAAAACCGGTACTCGACGAGTTAAGTTAATCTCGTTAACTTAAAGAGATCTAGGTACGTCGTTGTTAGATTAGCTTTAATCTTATTTATAATGCTTTGAGTTGGTTAATAATGTACAAGATCAACAGCTTGTTACAATCCATTATCTCATAACACTCAATTATCTTCATGATCCCAAGAGATAGCCGTTTAAAAAGTACTAATCTATTATCTTCTTGCGAAAACTCCACAAAATTTGTTCATACAAATGTACTCTCTTCAGAAATATGGTCTAAAATGGCGTAAGATTAAATTGGATGTCGTGGTCAAGCAAGAGGGTGCGGGAACAAACTTTAAAAAAAAATCGTGCGACTCAATTTCCAGAAAACATCGTAAGGAAATCTGATGCAACGCTTGCGTTGTGTTTCGTCGTGTGAGTGAGGTTACCGGAGGCCCAATTACCCTCCCCTTCCCCAATCTCCGCAATTCCTGAATCCCCAACTATCCTCAAACTCCTAATCCCCAAAAGGCCGGTAACGCACTTGTAACGCCTCTGGTGTTCCAGGTGTCCATGGGCGACGCCGATTGCTTACCATCAGGTGATCCGTCTGCTCGTTTACCGGCTTATGCCATAAAAAAAAA